TTTATATATATTTTAAGAAGGATAATGCATTTTAAGTTTCTTTTCATCTTTCCTAGGTCATTGTGGAAAGACATTTGCCATTTTGGAAAGGTTTCTGAATCACAGCCACGACAGAGTAGCCTGGTTAGTCATCTTGGATGATGACACGCTGATAAGGTACGGAGTAGGTACGGAGTCTTTCTTGTCCTCAGGTGGCTTTAAATGCTACATAGATTCACAGTCAGAAACTATGATGGGTACTTCTGCTTCTGGCCAAGATGGAGTAACAGGGACTGGATTTACCCTCCCTTCTGAAACAACCCCCAAAAGGATACAATGTATCAAATAAGTGGTTTTGTTTTGTTTTTTTAAATTACTGACATTAGGCAACAAGGTACAGTGATCATGAGACACAGGAAGCAAGTGGGGTGAGTCCTCTGACAGCCCCAGGTAACTGCCTTATGAGAGTTTCCACAGTCCTGCTCAGGGAGGGGAACCCAGGTGGAACCCAGCCGAACCCCTGAGCTGAAGTGATGAAGTTGAGAGTCTGGGGAGACCAAAGCCATGAGAGCTGCAGGGCAGAGCACGGGAAAGGAGAAGCTGCACAGAAAGAGCACTGGAGAGCTATGGAGACTCCCCTGAAGTATTTAGCAGAGTATGTGTGAGGAGACTCCCGGAGGCTGGGGAAAGAACCAACCCAGGTGACCAGAGGGAGTGGTGCCCAGCCCTCCCACAGGGCTGAATATGGTACCTGGTCCCACCAGCTTGCCCGGAAAACCCTTGATTCACAGTATTGGGTAGAGTTTATAGAAGGGTCTTACTTTAACAGTGGGAAATAGCTAACCCTAGACTAAGCACTGCTTTGGTCTTGCCTGACAAATAGTAAAGCAAGACCCCAAAAGACCAAACTGTTTCTAAGTCACTGGCCTGCATCCAAGAACAAAGCTCAAGAATATATACAGAAATACAAAAACATCCAGCACCCGACAAGGTAAAATTCACAGTATCTGTGGTTGAAATGGAGGAGGCCATGAAGTCTAACACAGGTATAACTGGAGTCCCTGATGGAAGCAACTCAATAGAACAGAAATAATATTTAAATTACCAGAAATAAAAGATGATCTTAATTTGTATATTGAAAGGGCCTAGCTGGTGCCGGGGAAAACTGGACTGAGATCATCAGCTTCTTCCCATATCCTAGTAATACAACTGGATTCTGATAATTAAGTCCTCCGAGTCTCTGAAGTAAGCTAAAGAGCGAGAAAATTAGACGGGCGTCAGACTTCTCAAAATAACGTAAGAAGTGTGATAATGGTGGAGGAGTGTTTTCCACCAACTGAAAGAAATCGTGAATCAGGGATTTTATATGCAGCTAAGATGTTCTTCCAGTATCAAGGCTGCAGACAAGGTTCTCAGTGCACATGAATTCAGGGAACAGTGTACACGTGTCCTTCCTGAGGAATGTATTAGGGAAAGAACTTCATGCAACTAAGATGAAATCTGGACAAAAGGACTGATGTTGAGCATTTCGTATGTTTAACTGTAGAACTTAAAGCAAAACAGGGGCGGGGGCATGGGTAGAGAACAGCATGTAAATGTTATATGTTCTGACAAAGCAGAGAGCTTGCAACTTAAAAAAAAAGGAAGGAAAAGGGGACAGTAGGATGAGATCATGGTGAACTGTATGGGTAGCGGATGGAATTAAAAGGAGACTGTGTAGAACTGACAGGCCAAGTAATAAAATGTTAAATAAGGAAGAAGGCATAGTTGAGACATGAAACGTTAAATAGAAGATAAATACCAGGAAAATAAAACTTTCTAATAGCAAAAATATTTTTTAAGAAGCAGAAGAAGACTCACCAAGTAGATAAAGAAACACAGCAAATACAGTATAACACATGTAATAAATCAAACAAAGTAATTTTAGTGTTGAAATCAAACATCATCAGTCACATCACTAGATGTGAGTGGGTTTAACTCACCTAATGAAAGAACAGACTTTTCAGATTGGCTCATAGAGCAAGCCCCAACTCTGCGCTTTATATGAGAGACACATAAGACACAGTCGTTCCAAAAGTCTGACAGTAAAGGATGGGTGAGGCTTGCCAAGCTAGGGGAACAACAAAGACAAAAAATTGAATCCCAGCCCAAAACACGAGGGAAAGAATCGCAAAATCAGCTCAAAAAAGCACAAGGAAGAAAATAAGAATTGAGATAAAAGCAGAAATGATGATGGAGAGGTCGAAAAAGCAGCGATCAAACTAACGAACCGAAGTTTTGGTTCCTTGAAGAAAAAATAAATTGAATTGAGTGATTCCTAGAAGATACCTGACAACAGCCAGGCGCACAAGAACGTATTTAGTCTGCTTCCTCGTGTGTAAGAAAGAAGGGGAAATAAAACACTCCGTAGGCCTATCTTTACACAAAAGGACAGATAAGCCAGAAAATCCTGAAGTAGTTTCTACAGCGGAAGGGGTGGGAGGACAGGGTGGATGGGGGTGGGGGTATGTGACCCTTTTCTGAGTTTATCTCTTAGTTTAGTTATGACTTTGGGAACCATGCTGATATTTTACCTGTTGAAAAATAAATCCAAGACAGAAGAAAAGTAAACCAGGATGAGGAGAAAACTGAAACGGAAGAATATGTGTTCTAGATGAAAACACAATCACACTGAAGGGCAAATAAAACTAATGCAAGAGCTGCTGAAGACGGGACTTAGGGACACCGTCAGGCAGGGGCGGGGCGAGGCGAGGAGTGTCCGCCCCCAGGTGTGCCGGTCTGGTTTTTGTGGCGTGGCGGGTGGCGCAGTCCTGAAGGGCTGTGAGGGACACTGCAGGACTGAGTAAATGAGTAAGTGGTAGTGGTGTCAGGAGCCATGGTGCTGTCTGTGGAAGGATATGGAACAAGCTGGTCAAGGAAGAGCCCCGCGGGAGGGCTGGAAGACAAATGGAGAAATCTGCCAGAATTCCTGATTTCCGTTAGACTCATGATTCCTGAAAAGTGTGTGTGTGTGTGTGTGTACGTGCGTTTATGCGTGCACGTGTGCACTTGCACACGTACATCTTTCTAGTTCTTTCCCCCAGAGAAGAGTAGAATCAAAGGCATCCCAGAAGCACCGAGCAGCTAGTGACCAGAACTAATAGTGCAATTTCCCCCACTAAAAGGAGCCAGGCCTTCTCAGAAATACCTGATTTTAAGGCTGAGGCAAGGAAGATAGAGGAAGACATTTGGAACATTCTTTTTTATACCAAAGAGTAAGGAAATAGGAAAAAAAAAAGTGCATGTCAAGAGGACACAGATGTGAGCTTGAAAAGGTTCCCGCTGGCTGTGAACCTGGGACAAATTGAGCGTCAGTACGAGTAAGGACAATAGTGAATTACGAACCATTAAAGTCAGGAATTGGTGAGTTCATGCTGTTAGTAAGTAAGTAAATAAACCAATAAATGAGGCAGATCAGGCACCACAACAAAATACTGCAGACTGGGGGGCTTAAACAACGGAAATTTCCTTCTCATGGTTCTGGAGGTTGGTCCAAGATCGGGGGCTCTCAAGGTCTGTTTCTGAGGCCTCTTGGTTTCCGGTGGCCGCCACCTTGCCTATGACCTTTTCTGTGTGCCATGCAGCGACAGTTCTCTGGTGTCTAAGGACACTAATTCTGTTGCACCCGGGTCCTATCCTTATGACCTCATTTAACCTGAGTTACCTTCCTAAAGGCTCCACCTCCAGATACGGTCATGTTGCGGGTTAGGACTTCCACATCTGAGGATCGGGGTGGGGGCCGTAGTGCGGTCCACAGCAGGCCGGCAGGACAGTGAGGAGTTCTGACTGATAGATGTGGATGGAGTTGGAAAAATCATCTCTTTGCAACCATCATAGTAAAGATTGATTCAGGTTGGAATCATTAACGGGTGCTAAACTAGGAGTAAATGTTGATGAGGACCTGGGTATTTGCTGGTATTAAAGGGATTCTGCCCAGAGATTCTGAAAAATAGCAAAGGGAAAACAGTAAGTGTCCAGGGAGAAACCAGGCAGCACCTTGAGTAGGTGATCAAAATAGATAAAAATAGACGCTACCAGTGGAGGGCAGGGGGGCACCACGTGCCAGACAGCAGCACGTTTGTTACCGCACCTGGGAGCGCATAACCTGGGCTTTATCACGAAGAAACGCCAGGCGAACCCACCATGAGGATCAGTCTATTAAAGGGGAGGGGCATTTATTTTTAAAAATACCACAGTCATGAAAGATGAAAGCTGAGGAACTGTTCCAGATGAAAGGAGAATAAAGTGAATGATAAATAAATGCAGTAAGGGTCCTGGGCTGCATCCTGTACTGGAGGGACAAAATGCTGTAAAGAGCATTACTGGGTCAGTTGACAGAGTTGGAATATGGTGGTAGCTCAGATACAAGCATGGTGTCAGTGTTCATGACTTTGGATTTTAATTCAGGCTGCAGTGAACCTTCATGTCCATGTCTCTGTATAGTCATCTGCTTTTTCTTGGCTACATACCTAGGGGCAGGATGGCTGGGACATACAATAGGTTTATGTTTAAACTTGTTAAGAAACTAACTGTGTCAGTAGTAGTTTTTGAAGTTGCTAACTTGCACTGTTCTTAGAATACACACATTGATGTATTTGGGGGGAAAAGGCACAATATAATGTCAAATATTTCAGCAAAGGAAATAAAAGTACACATATACATGTATGTATATGTATATATTCATATATACAGGTGTGTGTGTGTGTGTACATATAGAGAGAGAGACAGAGACAGAGAGAATGATAAAACCCTAAAATGTACTAAGAATTTTGATAGCACTTGAGCATTTCCATACTGTTTCTCTTCATTTCTGAGCCTCAAATTGCCTGAAATGGTAACTGATTGTTAAATGAGGCTTTTTTCCTGGATCAGTAGCCAGTCTACTTGGCGAGAACTGGAGGTCTGCCTGCTGTGGCCACATTCCCCTTTTTAGCAGATAAGGAGTAGGTGATCGTTGTCAGCCTCAGTCTATGCCTCGTCAGCTTTAATGTGGTCTTGTGAATGTGGAAATGGTTAACGTTGTCAGGAAAAGAAGACCAGATGCAGTGTTAAATCCTAGTTATTTTAACCTCAGAAATTGAGGGTTTAGGGTTTAACTAATAATTGTACAATATGCCGGAAGAAGGGAGATACTCATTTCTTCTAGGTCAAGAAGTAGACATGCATTTGCCCCAAGGGGCTTTGAGTTTTTAGGGAACTTTTCACCAACCAAAGGCTGCGATTTCATTAGAGATCTTTCAGTATCTTGTCCATGACCGAACGGTGAGTTACTAGGTGTCCGCACCCTTCCTTGCTTTTTCCTGCAGAGGTATTTATTAGATGACTTTCTGAAGACTTGATTCCAAACTAGGTGCCCAGAATGTTTAACTTCTGTGTCAAAAACACAATAGGTTTTCAAACACTTTCTGGCCACTTAGAAACCGTCAGCGTTATCAGAGCCCTTGACCTTGGGGTAGATATAAAGCTGTTCAGCCAGCTTGTAGACTATGAGCACCTCACTTGTAAGAGACTTTTTTCATACATTATTTTTCTTTTTTTCTTCTCTTCCAGCCTCGGTGTTATTAGTTGGGTGTTTCTGTAAGCTGTGTGAGCGTGGGTGGGAAAGATGCCTCCTTCCTATCCACTTCTACTCTGTTTTCTATGACCCCCACCTTCCCCCAGAAAGAGAGGAAATGTAAATGAGGGCTGTAGAGCAGTAGTGTTCTAGATGTTAATACTGCTCTTGAGAACAGAATTCATGATTAATAATTGAGAGAAATCCTTGATATATTGACCTCTTAAGAGATGCATGATGCTCACGAATCACAGGCTTGAGAAACACTAAAATTTACTTTGCCCATTAAAAATATGTAATCCAAATCCAAAGTCACTGGCCATGGGAAAACTTGTTTCAGGTAATGCTGATTGACGTGAGGGAAGCTAGGATTTGGTATGTGTGACTTGAAAATCTCTAGATTAGAAGAAGCAGTGGAAGGACTTTACAAGGCATTTGTAAGTGACACAAGTTCTTAAAACATGGATAAACTAGCCCTTCTTAACATCAACCTTTGTCTCCACTTTAAAAAAGTTATTTCTAGATTTTATTTCCCTGTGAAATATTTTTTTCCCCATCCTTACAGCAGCCATAGTTGCCAGCACTTTTCTGACCAGCTTGTGGGTACTCTCACTGCCCTTTGTAAGTGGCCACTGTTGACACAGGACAAAGAAGGATAGGGGGCGGAAGGTACAGACAGAAATAAAGGACCACAGATGAGGGAAGCCTTCCTTGAAGAAGGTACAGGCACACTGGTGCATCATAATCTGAAGGTTTCCTGGAAAACCTCGCTGCTCATGTTCCCTTCCCCACCTGCCAGCCACCTGCCTAACATGGACTTCATCTGTACCTCAGAAGTTCCTTTTTCGGCCATCAGGAATTTTAAAAAAATACCAAGGACATCTGAAAAGATGTGACGATCACTTCACTCTCAGTGGGGATCACTGGGGAGCAGTTCCGGTAGAAGTGAGCTGTGTGGTACCCGGGCCACCTTTACTTAATTAACCTGCCGCCCTGCCCACCCAAACGAGGCCACCACGACTGGCAGGGGCTATCTTAAAACTGGGGAGGAAGCCCTTGTTTCTCAGTTTCTCTCCGGTTTCCAGTAATGTATGGTGTTCATCAGTTTTTTTTTTAATCCATTTCTTCTGTAAATCACTTGAATTTCATCTCTAAATGATTTCCTTTTTTAAAAAATTGAAGTATAATGAGTTACAATGTGTCAGTTTCCCGTGTACAGCATAATGTTTCAGTCATACATACACATACATATATTCGTTTTCATATTCTTTTTCATTATAGGTTACTACAAGATATTGAATATAGTTCCCTGTGCTACACAGAATAAAAAATTGTTTTTTTAACTATTTTATATAGAGTAGTTAATATTTCCAAATCTCGAACTCTGAATTTCTCTCCAAGTACTGCGTAATATAACCACTGGGCTGTAAGAGTCAGAACATATTTACTCTGAACGCACATCTGAATTAACTGTTGCTTTGTTCGCTTTGGGATCGCAGCATCTCCAGGCTCCGGCACCTGCTGAGCTGCTACGACCCCCGCGAGCCCGTGTTCCTGGGAGAGCGCTACGGCTACGGCCTGGGCGCCGGCGGCTACAGCTACGTCACGGGAGGAGGAGGGTAACTATGAGCTTCCGGCCACACTCTCAGCACAACACTTCCGCTTCCGGGCCGCAGGGGCGGGTCTGGCGGTGGGATCTGCGCTGCTGCGTAAGTGCTCTGCAAACAGCAGCTGTTACTGTGGTAGGAAAGTGAACGTTAAATTTGCCAAATATGAGAAGATCCCACTGTAAAGAATATTTCACTCCTTGAAGAGGCAATAATATAAGTGCATGTGGAGGTGCTTGGGAGAAACGTCCCTGTAGTAGTGATTGCTTTGAGGCAGCTAATTCGTTTTGACTGTCTAACTGGAAAAAAAAAGTTGGATATAGATTTTAATTTCAGAAAATAAAGTCATTAGATTTTTTTAATTATCTAGTGCTTATAAGTCACATTTGGGAAAAGAGTGGTATAGAAGTTTAGACTTGAGCAATCAAGTGATACTTGTGTGGGATTTATAGGGTTTAAATAGTTAAAAATCAGTGCTTTAAAAAAATAAGCATCTGCCTAATCTCTCAGGGGAAAGATTTTGACTTGATTTACATGGCTAAGTCAGCTAAGCAGTTAGTCGTTCTGTTATTTCTATAGTCTTTTGCTATTGGGCTATTTAGGGATAATCTCAGTTTGTTACCACTGTTGTAATGTAAATTCATTCACCAGGTTTTTGTTTAATGTCCACTATGTTCCGGGCAGCATTCATTCTAGTCACTGGATTACAAACATCTGACAGCTGGGACCTGATATTCCTACTTCACAATCCCCTAGATGAGAGCCATTTCTGCTGCGGGACCCACCGCATGGTCACCCTCCTGGTGTTCTGGTTGGTCTGGCCCGTTCGGTGGTGACTGTCACGTGGTTATGGAGGTGGCTCTTCTAGTGATGATCCAAGCCTGTGCAGGAGTACTGATCTCTCTTCACCCACCGGCGGCCATTGGCAGTAGGAGGGCAGGGTCCACATAGGCCTTTGGCCTTGGAAAAGACACCAAAGTGTAAACCTAAGGAGAACTGAGCTGTCGTTGAAACAAGGTTCCGCCATTTGCAGCCTTAGGGTAATGCGTTTAGTTTCCTGGGTGAGGTGCTCGTGCCCACTGGCCAGAACTTTTGACTTTTGCAAGGGACGCTGTTATTTGTACGCAGGTTTGTATATTCTGTAGCACGAAGGTTTTACTATACATGGCCTCCTGGTCTCTTCTGCTCGTCCTCCACTCCGTGTGTCCTCCACGCCACAGAGACCTGGATGGAAGCACATCTGATCCTCTTGCTCGCTGTCAGGCCTGCACTGTCTTCCCACTGCCTTTAGTGTGAACTCTTTCCTACTCTGGCATCTGACTAAGACATGATCATTCAGATTTCAACAAGAGTCAAGCTGATCTGGGATTAGGCCTCAGTCGTAACCACTTGTAGCTGCCTAATACCCAGCCTCCCGGGTGCCGCTGAGATCACAGGGCTAAGCCTCCAGCAGGTCTCTCCTTCCCCCCTCCCGCCCCCAGACCCACTTAAAGCTGCCACCACTTGCTGCTCCCCTGGGCAGGGTTCCTCTCTAGAAACTGGCTCATCTAGGCTTCGTATCATTTATCTCTTGAACGATTCCAAAGGCTAATGTGATTTTTATTTCACTTGGATTTTTCTTTGTGTTACCATGGGAGTGAAAGGCTTTTGCATCCTTTTGTAACCTCCCACTGCTGTTAGGATAAAGTCCAGATTCCTCATCCAGCTCACTAGGCCTCTCCTGGTCTTAGGAGATGCTGCTTTACCTTTTTTGCCTCATTTATCTGCACCTTCATCTTAAAAGAGTTCATACTGAGCCTGTTTCAGTTCTTCAGAGGCACTGTTTTTAACTCTTCCCCCAGATACGGCATCTGCTGGCCCCTACACAGCCTTGTTCCCCCAGCCAGCCTCCTGCCTCTCTCACCTGGCGAATCCTCCTCTTTCTGGACTTGATACCACCGTCGTTTATGAATTCCTGGAAGCCTGCAGCCTAGTCCAGCCCCCTGAAATCTGGGTTTGATGCCTTTCTAATATACTTTCATGGCATATTATGCAAACTATTATCATTTAATTGTCTATTTTCTATTTTCCACCTAGATTATGACTTATTTGAAGGCAGCACCTGTGTTTCATTTCTCATTACATCCTTACTTGCTAGCATGAGAACTCACTTTTCACAAGGTACAGTGGATAACTGAATAAACAAGTGCATGAACACTGGTACTGATCCTTACGTAACTAACATGGACACCAGTGTATTCTGTTCTTAACAGCACCTTACAGACATGCTTTCTTTATGAGATTGTCTCATATCTACCTTTGATAAAAGCTGCAGACATGATAATTTCTCTAGTATTATAGGAGACTTCTCTGGTGATCTAGCTTAATAACCAACACCCTTTTTTAAACAGCAAATCAGGGTTGATTAGTGGCTTGTAAAACCAAGTAATGGCTCATAACCATCATTTAAAAATAATGAAATGCAGAATGGAACTGAATAAAATAGAAATACCACCGTGTATCACATGCAGTAAGAGCGGTATTGTTACGCGATCTTCTCAGTTTTATGCACATGCACACACACATACACAAAACATAAACCACTACCTTTAAAGTGTGTGTGTTTTCTCTGTGGCTTACAGTCAAGTTTTGGAAAACCATTGCCTTAAACCCTCCCTCTTAAGCCCCACTTATCAGAGCTAAGCCAGGAGAGTGGACGCCAGCGATTTACGTGCAGATGTTTGGTTTTGTTTGGAAAATGAGAACTTTGCACTGTTTGAATCCAGGCTGTCTGTGTTTTTGCCTTGTTGCTTACTCCTTAAGTTTGGGTATTTGGAGGCAAGTAGTACAATAACTTTTCTTTTTTGAAAATACTTACTTGCGTGTATTTGGGTAGGAAGCTGTGATCAGGATGTCATTAGTCTTTCTGGCAGCCCCCTTGGAAGAGGCCCTGGCAGTGGTGCCCAGAGACAGCCACGACCTGTCCATCTGCTCGGAGCCCAGGAGTGGGCGGGCTGCTTCTGACCCACGCTACCTTCTGTACGTGCTCTTGATTTGTGGGTATGCCCTTGAGGAAGTCCCTGCCTCCCACTTCAGGCTTTCTTATTTCTAAAATTAGTATATTGCATATTAAAGGAAATCATATTATTAGTCTCATAGCCTTTCAATATCTTTTTAATACTTAAAAGTTGGCAGAACAGCCATACTATGATATAACTGGTAATTTTCCATTTTGGGGGGTAGACTGGGCTGGCCTTTTCTGTCTACTAGATGCTGGCAGAAGAGAGAAAGGAGCATTTTTATTCAGATAGGATTTAAAAGGATAAGATAACAGCTGTGATTGGAATATATTTAGTCACCTATGAAACTTTCCTTGACTGGGCATCGGGTAGACATTCTAAGGGAGAGGTCTGTTTATGGCCAACACATGTCCCCTCACACAGGCTCCTTTTCTGGGCTTGGCCAGTAAAGCAGGAATTTGACTCAGCACGTAGGTGTGAGCCAGAGTCACTGGTGGACCCTAGACTTTCTAAGAGAAAGGCAGTTTATGGTAAGTTTTCAAACTTGTAGCTTGATCCCTTTTGTATAGTTCATAATCACTTTTTTCTTCTTGTGCAGTTGTACTTCCTTGTATCATCTTAAATAACGAGCTGCTTCCTCTTGTCCAGTCATATTCCATGGAGGCTTCTGACATCTTAGCATGGGCAGGGAGCACTGCCAGCCTAGGGTCACAAGTGGCAGTCACAGGGCACTGAACTGAGCCCCGCAGAGCAGGAATCAGCATGTTTGCATCAGGGACTGCGTTCAAGCTCTGTCCTCTTTCCCTTCCTACTAGATGGATTCATAAAACTCCCCCTTCCTCGGGATGATCTTTGCAAAGGCGGCTTTGTTCTCATTTGTTGGATCATCAAACTCTTATGGAGGGCTTACTGTATGTGAGGCCCTGTATTTGCCTGTGGGAATATATGGATACATTTTAGACAGTTTTGCTTTCAAGAAAATTGTTGCTTAGTGGGAATGAACTTGTGAACCATGTCAGCCCCCTCAGCCCCATCGGCTACTGGGTTATTCATGAAGCCAGACGGGAAGCCAGAAACCAATCTATATTTTAAAAAGAGAATTTATTGCAAGAACTTGGTACAGAAGTACTGGCAAGGGCTGAGGGATAAAAGGGAGCAGGTGGCCTTACCTGGACCTCAGTCACTATGGGAAATGCTGTCCCCTGAGGCTGGAGGAGCAAAGGGTGCTGGTTTCTGGTGCTGCTGCTGCTGTCGGGTTAACAACACTGCATCTGGGGTGGCCCAGGGCTGGCCCCCACTGCTGCTTTGGCATTGTCGCTGCCGCTCTGCCACCTCATGTTTCTGTGACAAACACTTCCCCCGGAATAACTATTAAATGTAAAACTCTGCTCTGTCAATGTCTTTATCAGACACGCGGCTGAGAGCGCTATTTCCTTACTCAGATCACTGCTCGGGAGGAGCTGCTCTAACTGCCTTCTCTGTCTGTGTCCCCCCAGGATGGTCTTTAGCAGAGAGGCAGTCAGGAGACTTCTCGCCAGCAAGTGTCGTTGCTACAGCAATGATGCTCCGGATGATATGGTCCTGGGGATGTGCTTCAGCGGGTTAGGGATCCCTGTGACACACAGCCCGCTCTTCCATCAGGTGAGAAGAATGTTCTTAGTCCGACCTCAGGGGGAGAGAGGGGGATCTTCCTCTCACTTAAGGGTCCTACTTCTTTCCCTTCACCTGTTCTGGAAACAACCTTAAGAACCATGTGGACAGGCTCCAGGGGGAAATCCTTAACAGACCTCTTTGTTCAGAGGGTTGGTGCTGTACCAGGTGCAGCATGAAGATGGAAGGCAGAAACATCTAGAAAACGAAATGGTGTTTGACCAGCATCCTTGCATGTAGGACCAGGTAAAGGCTGTTTGTTTTCTTTCTTTTTTTCTTTTGAGTTAAAAAAAATTGACGGTATTTAAAAATTATCCAGTGCTATTTAGAAAATATACAGGACTGATCTAATATTGTCTTGCTGGCCACCAAGTGTGTGTCAGTGTACACCGTCCTCAGTTTTTACACTCTCTATTGGCTACTTTGTTGGGCTTTCTCCCCTTTGATTGCTATTAAACTGAGTGGCTAAACTTAATTAAATTTCAGTGTACTATCTCAATATGCATATATTCTGGAGGCTATAGAAAAGCAGAGCTGAGATGATGTTATCAGGGGTGCTAATAGTGTCACTGTCCTGCAGTGTAGGGTCAGAAGGGAATCCTTCTGCATTATTTTTAGAAGTTTTTTTTTTCTCTTAAGAATCAGGTCAGTGGATGATAATGTAAGAATAGCATCTGTACTTAGACTAAAAATAACCACAGCCCACACTCATTTAATGCTCTCCCTTAAGAAACTCAGTAAAGCTTTTTGAAATTTGAAATATTTGAGTGCATGTATATTTTAAGTGCCCTCCCTTATGTTGAAAATATAGTCCTCATGCTTTATTTAACAACCAAGAGCAAAAACTATCACAGCAGCACAAGAAACGGGCCTGACAGAGGCAGCACTCCGGAAGTTCACCTGAACAAGGCAAAGAAAGTGCATTATCAAGAAAGGCAGAATCCTCTTCTGCTTTCTTGAGGACTGCAAAGGAGGATAAAAATAGACTGTTGTAATAAGAAACGTATGAGAAATCTCCTTCTTGGTACCACTCAGAAGGTACTTTTCCATCTTTTAAACCCTTGAGCCTGTGTGTGGTGGTGTTATGACTTAGAAAAGCAAGTTAGCGTCTTCTCCTCTTTTGATGTATCTCATAACGTTTCACTCACAGAAAAAGAAAAGGAAGGGTACTTAAAACTGTTGGTGTATAGGGAAAATAATTTACGATTGTTTATATCACAGTCTTGGGTTTTTACAGCAGCCTTTTTTACTTAGGGAAGAATATGCTAGTAAATGAGATGCTAAGGGAAAAAGGAAGGAAAGTAGTCTTTGAGTAAAAGTCCTTTGAAGATAATTTTAAAATAAAAAAAAATTGTTTCCCATACTTTAAAACTCTTGATTTCTCTAATTCACCTAATAAATTTTAAACCTTTCCAAAGTTGTAAAGTATGCTCAAAACCTATCCTCCCCATGGACACTGCTTTATCTTCCAACTCCTAAGCCTCTTTTATGAGAGTCTGCTTTGATTTGGACATTACCTTCCATTTGTAATGTTTGAACACTGGTCCAAATGGTGTATTTGTTCATACTGAGAAAGAGATATGAGACAGAGAGAAAACCCAGGATCCCTGAGGAGTTAGTGGGCATGTGGAAATGAGCTCAGATACAAAGCTGCCTGGGCCACATTCCTTCTCTTTTTAGTCAGGGAACGTTATTGTGAAACCACAGGTTTAGAAGGAGGCCTCAAGGAATGTCCAGTCTATCCCTCTGTGTTAAAAACAAAATCTCTAGAGAATGTGGTTTCCTGTTCTTCCAACATTATATGCCTCTGACGGGTGTGGCAACATGCAATGGCCAGTGAATCCTCTGCATAAAATTGTCAAAACAACCACTTCAGGACTCTGGGAGTCAACCAGAAGCACTGAGAAGCATTAACTCCTGGAAATCTACTATAGCTCTGGGTAACAGCAACAGAGCCTGAGGCCTTTCTGTCTGAATCCCCCCACCCAAGCCCTCTTCCATCCCCGTTTGCTTGGAGAGGGCAGCAGCAGTTTCACCAGTATGGGCCTGGTGGGAAAAAACAATAGGTCAGAGACGTGGGCTTGACTTGTGGGAGAGATGAACACCCACAGATAGTCAACTAAAGCTGTCAAACTAGGGTAGGAAACAAACAAGAAAAGCCGGCATCTTCACTGACCTGGGGTTGTAGTCTCAGTTATCGTGAAGGGAAACCTTTATTACAGCTAAAATATCAAGAAAAAGATTTAAATGTATACTAAAAGATTTTAATGAAAAAATGCCAATAAAGGAAGAAGAGATGGACAAAAAATGAGACATGTAAAAAACAATGGCATATAGAATGGCAAATGGCTGATGAAGATAGAGCTACATCAAGTATTACATGATTATAAATGGACTGGATACCCTAGTCAAAAGGCAGAGATTGTCAGACTGGATAAAAAGCATGACTGACTGTACGTTGTGTATGAGAGTCAAGTACACTTCAGATTCATAGACGCAAACAGGTTGCATATAAAAGGATGGGGAAAGATACGCCCTGCAAACAGTTGGCTATAGAGCACTTGAGTGGCTGCAGTAGCATTAAACACAATAGATTTTAAGAACAGAAATATTACTAGAGAGAGAGTGGGGCACTTCATGACAAAAGGTCAATACATCAAGAAGATAATATATACACTAACAACAGACCTTCAAAGTACATGAAACAGAATTGAAGAGAAAAATAGATATGTATTAACTACTTGACCTGACAACAACAGAATGAACATTCTTTTCAAGTACACGTGGAACATTCTTCAGGACAGACCATATGCTAAGTCGTAAAACAAGTCTCGATAAATGTAACAGGACTGAAAACATACACAGTTATGTTGGGAATTCCCCCAATATTTGGAAATGAGACAACATACTTTTAAATGACCCATGGGTCAAAGAAGAAATCATAAGGAAAATTAGAAAATACCTTGAATGAAAATGTATCAAAAATTTGTGTGCAGCTGTTGTAGGGATTAAAGGAAATTTATAGTTTTAAACATAATCTAAGTTTCTACATTGAGAAGCAAAATAATTATATTAAACATGAACTATGTGAAATAGAAGAAGTATTAAAAGTTAGAGCATAGTCCAACAAACTAGAAAACAGAAAAACAGTAGAGAAAAATCAGTTAAGCCAAAAATTAGTTCTTTTGGAAAGATCAGCTACTTGGGTAAACCTTTAGCTCACTGCACCAAGAGAAAAAGAAAACATGAATTGCCAAAACCAGAAATGAAAGAGAGGCATCATTATAAACCCTACCAAAATTAGCCAACAAATTAGACAATTTAAATGAAATGGAGAAGTTTCTAGAATCACATTTTTTCAGCAAACTTATTTCTCCAGGAGGAATAGAAAATGTATTTAAACTTACATACATGGATGAAATCAGAGAAGGGAGCATGCTTCCCAACTCATTTCATGAGGCCAGCGTTGACCTAGTATGTCAGAGATGAACGTTGTATCCCTACAGCAAGCATGAAGAAAATGACTAAAATTATATAGCAAAAAAAATAACAAAGGGATTAAAATGGTACATCAGAAAAGTAAACTACCGGCAGTGTTACTCCTGAACAGAGGTGCAAAAACCCTTAATCAAATATTAACAAGCTGAAGCCAGCAGTATACTAAAGGGATTATATGACATGACCAAGTCGTGCTCATCACAGGGATGCAAGGTTGGTTTAACACCCAAGGTCAATGATTATTATATGAATAATGAATGAAAAACACATGATCCTCTCAGTAGACACAGAAAAAGTGTTCGATGAAATCTAACACCGCTTCATGATAAAAAAAATAATAAGCAGACAGAAAAACAAAAAACTCTTTCAACAAATAGAACTTCCTCAACCTGATAAAATGAAGATCAGGAGCAAGGCAGACATATCCAGCCTCAGCACTTTTACTGACCCCTGTATTTAGAGGTTCTCACCAGCGCAGTAAAGCAAAAAAAGAAATACAAGGATAGATTGGAAAGGAGGAAGTAAAACTGTCTCTGCCCACAGACAGCATGATCTTGTACGTAGAAAATCCTAAGAATCTATCAAATACTGCTAAGAGAAATTAAGATGTGAATAAATTGAGACACAGTTTTTATGTATTAAAAACTAGCAATTTCCTTGTTGATCTTTTAATATTCATTTTAAAATGTATTAATTTATTTCATTCATTTAAAATTTACTTTATTACTTTTATTCTGAATGCTGACATGAAATGGTCTGGATCAGAGACAGCTTTTTAAATTAAATATCTCACAGTAAATAATAAGAGCATCTTGCCCACACCCCCCACTGCCCCTCTGACCTAGTTTTTGCCTCTAGGGCAATATGAGAGCGAAGTCAGTCATCCTACACTGGTAACCAGATACTCCACAGGCAAGCGATTAGGAAATTTTGTTTTCTCTGCTTATAAAGGTGAAGGAGGCAGCTGTCCCTTTCAGTCCTTACTTCAGCACTTTACTATGCAAACAGTTTCTCCAGGGGCCTCATTCTTCCTTGAAATGTAAATGTATCCCTCGGGTAGTAGTGTTCAGGTCTTCCTGGCACTTCAAGGCTTAATTTAGGGACGGAGTTCAGGGCTATGACCACTGGCCTTCTCCCAGAGATGAAGGGGGTTTTACTCTCGTTTTGGATCACAGCAGTTAACTAGAAAATGACTACAATTTAATTCTCATGGAATGTGAGATATTTATAGTGGGCTAAGGCTCTTTTACAGGACACAGTCATGCAGGGAAACTTTGTCTCCCTGTATTCCCCAAATTGATCTATAAATTTGGTGTAATCATATCAAAAGCACAGCAGCAGGCTTCTTGATAAAAACTGAGAAGCTTATCCTGAAATGTATATGGAAATACCAAACAGTTTTTTACAAAAGAGCTCAAAGTGGGAGGATTTACACTTACATGATTTTGAAACTTACTATAGACCTCCAATAATCGGGACAATGTGAAATTAGTATAAGGATAAACATATATATCAAAGGAATGGGACAGATTCTAGAAATAAACCCTCCCATTTATGGTAAACTGATTTTTAACGAAGATGCCAAGGCAAGTCACTGGGGAAATGGGACAGTGGTGCTGGAACAATTATAGCCACATACAAAAAGTGAACTTAGAACCTTACCTGACACTACACACAGAAATTACCCGAGATGGATCACAGTACAAAATACAAGCTCTAAAGTTACAAGCTTCTGGAAGGAAACAAAGAATAGTTCTTTGTGGCCTCAGTTTAGGCAGAGATCTCTTACAGCATCAAAGGCATGATCTAGAAAGGGAAAATTCATAAACTTCACTTCATGTAAATTAAAAACCTGTGTTCTTTGAAAGATATCATTAAGAAAATGAAAAAAGTACAGGGCAAGTGGCATAATGGATAATGTGTCAGGACGAGGAAAATGAAAACACAAAACAAAACACAGGAAGTCATTTGCTAATCACGTATCTGATGAAAGATTTGTGTCCAGAAATATATAACAATCTCTTACAACTGCATAAAGAAACAAACCACTCTGTTTAAAATGGGCTAAGATTTGAATAGATGTTACACTGAAGAAGAGAAGGAAATGGCTAATGAGCACATGAAAAAACGTGCAGCGTTACTGGTCATTAAGAAAATGTAACGTCAGATCACTGTGAGGCCCCACCACACGTCTCCTGGACTGGCTTTGAGCAGAAAGCAGAGCATACCACGGACGCTCTGTCTACAAGGACGCAGGAAAACTGGCTCTCTCAGACACTGCTGGTGGGAATATGAAATACAGGCACTTTCGGAATGTTTTGGTAGTTTAAGTTAAACATACTTGTAGTAGGCAGTTTATGACATGGACCCCAGTGGTGCCCTCTGAATGCCACCAGCAACCACCCAGTGAGGTTGTGGGTGGATCTTGTCGTCATGGAGCCTTCGGATGAGACCACAGACCCTGAGCTGGTACCTTGACTGCAAGCGTGAGAGAGACTGGAAGCCGAGGCCCCGGCTGCGTGCTGCCCAGACTCCTGAGCCGTGGCAGCTGGGTGTGGTTTGTGTGGCACGTCCATACAGGGCACCAGCGCCCAGCTGAGAAAGGAACTAACCTCTGGCGTGTGCCCCGATGCCAAGTGAAGGAAGCCAGGCACAAACACCCCTGTTATGATTCCACTCATGAGAAATTTCTAGGGGACACTGTAGAGACAGCAACTCAGTGGTATCCTAGGTCTGTGAATGAGGGAGAGGACTCATTGCAAATGCAGGCAAGGGAACCTGGGGGGCATGACTGTAGAGTTCTGAAACCAGATTTGCGGTTGCCTAGCTCTGGAAACCTGCTAACATTATCCAAACTACCATTCACAGCACTATTGTGTGTGAACTGTGTATGGTATGTAAATCATACCTCAATACAGCTGAGATGAAAACGTGTGTCGAAGAAAATATAGTTTTAACCTTCATTTGCTGCGCTCTGTTCAGTGTGCTGTAAGGAGAAGATTTTAATTTTGCCCAGTGTGTGTTCTCCTCATGCAGTTTCAGCCATCTCTCTCTCTCTCTGGGTACACGGCTTCCCACCATGCTCCCCTCTGTTACCCAGCCCTCCTTCCTCACCCTGACCCTGCCTGCTTGGGATTTCCTTTTGGCCTTTTCACAGACGTGTGATTTTTACAAGCTAAATGGACCTCTCAGTGTCACAGGTGCCTCTCTGGATGCATCCTACTTTTTTCATTTGGTTTTGTTCTTTTCCATGAGCTCATCTGTCAGAAATGATGAGCACGTCCTAGAGCTTAATAAGCCAGGTCTTCACGTGCATAGATGGCTCCTGAGATGCAACTAATCACTTCTGGAATCTGCATTAATAGAGGGAAAGATATTATGGATTTATTTTTTTCCTGTTAGATGTATTTGTATCTCCAATAGTTGATTTTTAAATGTGAAAAACAAGCAACGATTCATTTCCATTGCTTTAATTTTTTTTCTCCTGAGACCACTGTGGAATTATCTGAGAACTGAATTGAGACTTTGTTTCTCCTAGGTTTTCTCCTCTGCTGGTAAATTCTCAGAGAGCATTGCAGATAAACCCATGTAATACATGAATTCCCTCAGCTAATATTCAAAACTTTCTCAAGTCATTTAGAATCTATTCTAGTATGTAATTTTTGGTCTCTGTCTCACTGTATTTCCCTTAAAAAGTCTCTTCCTAGAATTTTAACTTCATGAACACTTAGAATTTTTAAAGGATAGTACCATGACCATTATGAAAGTTCTCCCCTACATTATTTTGAAGTCTTCCTCACAGATACTATCATTTGACCCTCAGCTGAGCAGCGTACTTGTGCCACCGCTGGATACAGCCTCCCAAAGCGGCTAGGGCAGCTAAAGCCTCTGACGACCCCGGACAGGCTGAGGTGCTGGCAGGACACTGGCCTGGGAGCTGGGCACCTGCTCTCACCCCCATTCCAACATTTGCGAGCCATGTTACCCCAAGGAAGTTATAACTTCTGTGAGCTCTGGCTTCCTCATTTGTGAACTGGGGAGGAATCGTGCTGCTCTGACCATCTTGCGAAGTTTGTTTCAAGGACTAAATAAGAACATTTAATGAAGGTATTTTGTAAACCATTTAAGAGAGTTTACTCGTATCAAAAATTTAGATGGAATGTAATAAAATATCAGCCTAGAGAAGATCTGTTTCTAAATGTATCACACCTAGGTTTAATAAAGTCAAGGCTACTTCAGTACTGGTAACCCAGTGAGTTACTATATGACACAGATGGGCTATATACATTTGTAAACAAGATAAGCTTTGAGAGAAGATGGATGCTTTGCTCAGAGAAAACAAAATGTATCTGGTTTCAGTTTCCTTCCATACCCTGGAGGTTACTTTTTCAGTCTCATTTTAGGCTATATCTGATTCTGCTTACATTTCATTTTTTCAGAAGTTCTGGAGCATTCTGAAATGATAGTAATGCAAAAGCTTTCTAGGCCCTATTGCAGACTATTTCAGGTTACTCAAATTTCCAAGGACACCTCTGGAACCAGGCTGGATATTCAGGTAGGAAGGAGTAGGAGCTACTGCACCCTTCTCCCTGACGAGCTCCACGTTTCCCTGCTCTGAGAGACACCTGCTGATTCCACGTCAGGGCAGCAGACAGGCAGTGCGAAGCCGGGAAACCCCTTGCCCCACTCCTCCACACACACATGTATGGCCAGAGTTTTAGTTTTTTTTAGACCTAAGAAATAACAGATTTTCTGCCTTTTTGCAGAAGTCATAATTGTCACTTAAATGACTTACCAAGGAAAACTTTTCATAATTATTACCACAATTGAGGAATCTCCCAGACGTGTGACTATGGAACACAGAAGCAAAAAGCGATGTGTTTCGAGTGATGCACTTGGGGTGTGAAAGTAACTGGAGACGTAGAAGCAAAGAGCCTACAGTTAGAGGGAAGATTTTAGTGGGAAGGATTTTCTTCTTGCTTTTAGATTCCCATAACCAACATCAGCTACTGACGGGAAGCAACGGTTTCATGCACTGAGATGCTATTCTGAAGCAAGACTGTCCTCAGTGAGCCAGAGAGCGGCCTTCTCTGTTCTTCTTCCCGCAGGCCCGGCCCGTGGACTACCCCAAGGACTACCTGTCCCACCAGGTCCCCATTTCCTTCCACAAACACTGGAACATCGATCCAGTGAAGGTCTACTTCACATGGTTGGCACCCAGTGAGGAAGACAGAGCCCAGCAGGAGACACAGAAAGGCTTTAAAGAGGAGCTGTAAGGCCCGGCGCCGGGAGCCCAGGCAGGATGCCAGGCAGAGACCGGCCTCGTCCTGCTGCGGTCCTCACGCTCACGCGCGACACGGGGCACAGCGGCTTCCTGACTTTAGGTGGAAATTACTGGATGGTAATTTCTGAGTGGGGGGGGAGGAGTCATAGGGAAAACAGATTTTTTTTTTCCTGAGAGAAATCACTTCCTTTTGCATCACGCGGCTGTTGTAATACGCAGTGATTACTGTGTGTTTTTCAAGCTGTAAAACAGCAGCTTTGTTTCTGTCACAGGAAAAGAAATGGCACCAAAGTCTCCTTCCTGCTCTCTCTCCTTTGTAACGGAGGTTTCAGTTGGGCGTGAGGCTGGAGAGACGTGACTGTCTGTCATCATACGTGTAAAATAAAGAAGAGGGGAAGTCCACTGATCTGGGTATTACAATGGGGTGAACTTTTTAACCGTATTATTGATGATTGAAATTATTTCCTGGTTAACTCACTAGGAATATTGCTGTATTAAGGATCATTCATAAACCATCATAAAAGTCTAGTGATGAAAAATCCCCTGGAGTCTGTAATCAGGGTTGTTATGTTTTATCTATTTTTCTGTTTGTGCCTCATAAAAAGAGAGTAAGAAGCCTGCGAGCGTGTTCTACTTCTTTAGAGGTTTGTCTGTGTTCCATTTCTCCCTGAAGCCCTATCTTTATGACCTACTTGTAACACAAGTGTGCTCGCTGCGACCGGAAAATAGTGTTCTCAACATTTAAAAACAGTGTCATATTTTATTCAAGTCACTGAGCTCTGTGTAAGTCTCGGGAAGTGAAGGAAGTGAATTAAATTAATTTTACATGGTACTTTACTCTTATTTTTATTTGTATGCTACTTAATGATCCTCTCCAGACTCAGAATAGGCCCCCCCAGTGTACCCTGAAGCCCCAGTTGGGGTACCAAATGGTGATTTGGCAGTTTCCCCAGGCTCTTAAAGAATGAAATTTGAAAACAGTATTTTGAAGCAGCTCTAATTTCCAAATCATATCTTTAATATATTATTAAATACATTATTAATTTGTAAAGAATACTCTGTATTTTAATGTTTTAATTATATAATTCAGTTTTCTAAAGGTATTTGTGTAAAATTTGATTTTGATATGTCTTAAAACTAATTTTGGTATAGTAAAATACTTTCCTCTTTTTTTTAAATAAAAATTTCTATTCATTAACTTTGCATATAATGTTTTTATAGCCAAGCACAGGGTTTTAAAGCCATGTCACCAAAAGTACCCATGTTTGTGTTTTTAACAGTACATTTTTCTTGTAGCTTATATGCGACTGACTTCCAAAATGATGCAATAGTATTTACCATTTTTCCAAACTAGCAAATACTTGGATGGGTATGTTTTCAGTGATAACTGAATACATTGGATTCATTTCTGTGAAAGTGGATTTTGTGGCCTGTCCAAGAAACGGATCAGGGATTATCAGCTGGATGAGAAGCGCCCTAAGGATTTATGGATCTGGGCAAGCTGTTGCTGATGACATCAGCTTTGTTGTCAGAGCTGGGATTACTGTCACTGTTACGCCCGTCGTGTCATTGGTAGTAACACTCCTGGAGGGCCTGGCTGCCCAACCCAGGGGGGAAGAGCCTTCACGTCCCACCCCTGCCTGCCAGCCGAACACGCTGCCAGAAAGCAGCGCGTTCACGCGACAGGCTGGTCCTGGCGTCTCTACATGAAGACCCACGGCAAGCTTTCTCTGTGTACCATGATCAGTGCCTTCTACTGATACCGGAGCACCTTCTCTGGTACCTTTAGGTGTTTTGTTAATTATGTTCATTTTTTGGAACTGTGTAAGCCTAACCCCAAATAAAAGATGTTTGCCTATGTTTCTGATTTCTCAAGTGTATTTATCAGTCCAGGTAGAGTGGGAGTGGGGAGGGGCATGGGGACAAGGAGTGAACGAATCAGAGAAAAAAGCTGGCAGCTCAGTAGACACAGTTTTCAGCAAGAAAAATTAATCAAAGCCTATCTTTTTTCAGAGAAAACCATCAGACTCTGAAGATATATTTATACTAAGTATAAACGCTTATCTATTTTATTGTATATTGGTGATATTCTGGAACTGATTCTTACAGAATTCATATTTTAAGAACTAGTTTTGAATCGGAACTTTCCTGGACAGATATTGTCCTATTCATATTTTCTTTGCCTTTTAAATAGGAATTTACTGCAAACGTCTGTTTTTATACTGGGGATGTCAACGTCAAGGAGTTGCAGATGGAACCGTGGAAGCCGGTTTTCCTTCTGAGCCTGTTCTGCTGATACAGCCAGAGCTGTATTTTTACATCTAGCCACTAAGTCAGAAATCCAGACAGGGACACAGCCTTTATAGACTGGGGACACAGAACAGCAGCGTGCTAGGCTGCAAGTGATGGAGTGCACGCGTATGTAAACAGCAGAGCTCTCTTGAGTTTCTTGCTTTATTGAATACCTTCAGTGTTTCCACATCCATATCCACTGGAATTGTTCATAATTGTTTTCTCTGCTAGAGTGACACTTGTAAGAATGCTTCTACTATCTTCTATTCAGAGATACAACTTCAGTAGACTAATATGAATCAGTCAGTAGATTCATCGAGCAACTATTCATTAAACCCCCACTGTGTCAGCCCTTCCAGGATGCCCCTTGCCTGTCCTGCTCACCAGTCTCTCCTGGGCATCTCTGAATGCCTGGCACACAGTAGGTGCTATTGTTTTATGTTCCCAAGCTTCCTATAAACATGGCACCTGCAAAATGTGCTCCCCTCCTATCTGTAGAAAGCAAAGGCTTCGTTTCTGGCAGTAAGGCTTTCAGCACATGTTTTCACTTTAAAGACACATATTCCTGGAGGGAGCTGGGGTAGGTGCAAGGAAAAGGGCATAAACCAGTAAACGAATGAATGAACCAGATGATTTCTAATAATGATCAATGCTGTAAAGACACTGAGAACAGGGAGCTAGAATGGGGTGGGGGCTGGGGACGACTTTGGATGTAGTGGTCAGAGAGCCTCTGAGAAGGTGATGACTGAGTGGAGACTCCACTGAACAGAGTGAGTCAGGGACGCAAGAACATGTGCAGGGAGTTCTAGGCAGGGGAACAGCAAACGTGAGGGCTCTAATGTGGGGACAGATTGTCAGAAAAACCTGTGTGATGGCGTAGCTCTCATTGCTGTTATTAGATGTGCAGGTGTTGTCAGATAAACAGCTGCTCTGGCAGTCTGCAGCTCAGAGCAGCCAGGGCAGGAGTTATGATATTGGAACTCACCAGCATTTTACAGGTTTTGAAAGCCACAAGACTGGCCAGGATGGTGTAGGGAGAGAAGGAACTAGAGTCAGCCAAGGTGGGAGGGACTTGGGAGCTGCGGGTGGTGGGGGGCGTGGGAAGTGCTGTGTAAGGGAAGCCAAGGAAAGAGTGTTCTGTGAAGCAAGTGATCAAGGGTCACGTCACCAAGAGGTCCACGAAGGGAGGACAGAGAGGTGCCAGTGTGATTTGGCAGTGTGGAAGTGACCTTGACAAGACTGCTCCTAGTAAGTGGGGCAGGATGAGAGTTGAGATTGTGGAGCGCAATTGTAAACATTTATAGACTGGGAACACGGAACAGTAGCATGCTAGGCTGCAAGTGATGGTGGAGTTCATCCATAGTTAATTCTTTTTATGAGTTAACTTAAAGACAAAGAAAGGTAGCTTGAGGGGGAACATGGCATCTTGGGGGTTTGTATTTCAGGACGGGAGATTCTAGGAAATGTCTTATGAGATGAGATGTGGGTTCGTCACCAGTTGTGGGTTCTGGCCGGCAGAAGTCCCACCGAGACGGAATGAATTACTCGAGACTGCGTGGAAAAAGTCAAGAGAGCAAGAGGGAGTCGGGAGCCAATTCCACGAACCTCTCAAATGCTCCTACATTTATGGTATGCAATCAAAGGAGAAATCACTAACAGTTGTGTGATGGAATGCAGGAATTTAGGGAAAGACAGGGTGGGATCGAGATTGTAGAGTCTGACTCAAGGTCAGAAGACCCTTTATGTTTTGGTAAATCATGTTTGTGTTGGCACCAGCGAAGCTTACAGCTTATCAGGGTGGAACGTATGAGAAGCAGCTGCTTAACAACATTTTTTTGGACTCAGGCAGCTGTTCCTTTCTTAGGTT